CCCCAAAACCCCAAAACCCCAAAACCCCAAAACCCCAAAACCCCAAAACCCCTATATCAGCAGCTTACATTGAATTACTTTAAGATGGGTTATAATATTTATTAATAATAGCTAAATTAATTCTTAGAAAATGGAAGTAGGATTCCCAAAGACAATCCAAGATGAAGCTACTAGGAAGACAGCAGGAGATGCTTGATTCTCAAAGATTAGTTCAGCAGAACTCGGATATTTTACTGACGGTTACTCTAAGTTTTTCACTAAGAATAAGAGAAAGATGATGCCTCTTATTAATAGAGGAACTTGGACCAGAGTATTTTCAGTCAGAACTCTCGTCAATAACTTTTTAAGTAAGTTTCCTACAGACAAGATCCAGATTGTCTCATTGGGAGCTGGATTTGACTGAAACTTCTTCTACTATCAAGAGAATGTACTTGAGTTCAATGAAAGGGATCTCCACTATTTCGAAGTTGATTTTGAAGATATTACTGCCCAAAAGATAGATATCATTAAACAGCATTCCGAGCTTGAGGAGTTGATCTTCAAAGATGCAGAACCTTCATACGAAGAAGGAATGATACAAACAGAGAGATACACCCTCCTTTCTTGAGATATTCGACAGGTTGATGATCTCGAAGATAAGCTAGTCCAAGTTGGTCTTGATAAAACTATCCCTACTTTAGTTTTGACTGAATGTGTTCTCTGTTATATGAATAGTGAAGATAGCTCTCAAATTATTGCTAAAATAGCAGAGATGTTCGCAGATGTAGCAATCGTAAACTTCGAAATGATCAACCCAAATGACCCATTCGGGACAACAATGGTTGAGAACTTAGAAGCCAGGGGCTGCCAACTGTTAGGCTTGAAAGACGTCCCTGATGAGAGTGCCCAGGTAGCAAGGATGGTCGATAATGGGTTCCAGAATGGATATTGTGAAAACATGCTCAGAATCCATAACTCAAAACTTGATGAGACTGAGAGATCCAGGATTGAGAGAATCGAGATGTTTGATGAGTTTGAAGAGTGGGATTTGCTCCAGTCTCATTACTGTATTTGTGTTGGATCGAAGTTCAGTGACTCTTCAGAGCTTGGATTTTAAGCATTTCAATCAATATAAAATAATAGCTAAATCATATATATTTGACATCCTTCAACGCCTTATCATCAAAATGGGGTTTTGGGGTTTTGGGGTTTTGGGGTTTTGGGGTTTTGGGGTTTTGGGG